CGCTCCGCGCCCTGTGAGCGGCTTCAGCGCGCGGAGGATCGAACGTGCGATTCCTCAGCTCTAAAACAGAGTTTCGGGTTCTTTAAGGTATTGGCGCAGTCAGAAATAACGTTTAACTTCAAGTCGAAAGTGGGTGCGATCGTGCTCCACACATATGGAAACGCTCAGGTAAACGACTTATTTTAATACTGCCTTTTGGCAGCTGGAATTTAATCTATTTTATTTGTACCTTTCTGCAGTTACCTTGCTGGATTCCAGATCGGTTCAGGGAGAACTGGGGTGGATAGCAAGTCCCCTGGAAGGAGGGGTAAGTTTTAAACCGCTATCTGATCAAAAGGGTAAAGGGGGTGATTAGTAACTTTCAGAGAGTCCTCTCGATTATTGTTGATTGTGGTGAGGAGGTCAGATTTCTTCCCCGGCTTACCGAGTGAATTACTCTTTGTTGGAGAAACTCTATACTCCCTTTGGATAGTTCTGTCATGGAAGAAGTGGAAACCAAAAGGGCAGAAAAGAGGTTTCAGAATTAGGAGATTGGCTGAGGCATGGGCTTAGATGCCTATTTGAAACTGAAATACCAACGAGAAACGTGATCTGGTGACTGAACTGGTATTCTTGACTGTAATTATTATATATATGTCTATGGGCGGTCTCGGCTGGGACTATTTCTGGATGAAGGAGTAGGGATCAATATACAAGATAGACCTCTTGGTGTGATGGGACAGTGGTCCTATTTCTGAGTGTAAACATCATACGTTTTGGTCTCTGAACAGAAAAACTGAAGCACCCAGTGCTCGACGGTGATTCCTTGGGGATCCTTTTTTACTTACTTCTCAAAGAGACAATTGTAAGAGCAGATTGCTTGAATTCACTGCCCGATGATGATGTGATGGCATTAAGAGATTTACACATCCGTCGCTGGGGCATAGAGCCGCTTTGCTTAGTGAGCTGCAGGCAAGGTATCCCTGCTAATTTAGCTTTGTGTTAGTGCATGGGCACCTTGCTGCTCCCTCATCTGCGCCCCATCCTGCAGAGTGCCCTGTGGGAAACTCCTGAGAATGCTGGACTTTGCAGTTGGTGGGATCTGGTGGAGGCTGTCTTTCAGGGGATCTCTCTTTTTTTTTTTTTTTTTTTAATAATCAATTAGAAAGGCTTTTTCTTTCTTGATGTGAATAGTTTAAGAAAAATGCCAGCAATGCACGCTAAACATTAATATAAAAAAAAAACCCACCTCAAATCCTTTTAATATTAAATGAGTAAAGCAGCTTAGTATGCTTAAGCAGAAGTAACTAAGTCAAACTGATTGAAAAATAAAAGTGCTGAAAGATCAGGACATGTGCACAACAAAGCATTGGATTCTTCAAGAAACCTACAAATTTACTTTTTTGTCTGTGTTCCCACTTGTAATTAGAAGAAGCAGAGCTAAGGAAACAGCAGTGAGTGGAAGGAATCTGAGGTTGTGTTGGCGGGTGATGCATTATGCATAAGCTCTGAATAACCATAACATGAGAGAATGGGGGATTGTTTTGCTCCCCCATTGTTGGTCTGGGTGAACTTGACTACAGTCCTGGCTTGTGCTCTGCCTGAGCACACTGTGCCGTCCCCAAAACTCGGTTTTTCAAAGCCTGGGGAAGTGATTGGCAGGCCTCTGGCAGCACCGGCTGGGTACATTCACCGCTGGTTGCAGGCAATTGCCCTCATCTTTTGACAGTGTGGAAAGGTACAGCTCTATCTCGGGGAGAGTCAGACTTCCTTGTTAATCCTGTTCCCTGGAAAGGTCAGATAATGAGATGAGGTCTTTCATACGGCTCTCCAAGGGATATCTACGATGTATATTAAAAGAGGACCTAAAATACAAGTTTTAATAAGTCAGTGGTAGAATTGATGGTCAGAGGACAGCTGTATATTATTAATGGCGGTTGGATTCCCCCTTTTTTCCCATGTTTTCTCTGAAAGCACCATGCAAGCTTGAGAGGGAAATGTGTGCTCTTATTGTGGACGTGACTCGTTTCACTAAACCTACATACGTGTGTTCTATTTTTAAGCCAGTAGTGAAAAATTTAAGAGTACATGGTCTGTCTCTGAGATACAGTGCTTGGAAAGCATTTATTTTAACTTCATATGCTGCAGATTTATTTCAAGCAGCAGAAATGAACTCCTCTATCTTCCTGAGAAGATTCTGTCCTTCAGTGTTAGTTTTTCTTTAACTGTGTGTACCTTTTCATCTATTAAAAAAGGTATTTTTCTAGATCTATACCACACAGTTACTGAGGTGTGAGGGTTGTGTGGATAAGAAGGGCTGGAGATAAATGTAGTCATTTAGCAGTGCCTAGCAGTAATCAAATATATAGTAGCCCTGGAGGAATTAATGAATTGCATTATAAATGTAATTAATGATTTACTCTTGCATTTCACAGTTGAAAAGCAGGTTTTGTGCCCAGAATGTTTTACTCTGCATCATTAAACGGTGGGAAGAGTTGAATTATAAAAGTTATTTTCAGCTTGAAAGCAAAAAGTTGCAGCTTTGACCACATACTTAGAGTTACAAATCATTTATGGTGGCTGGAAATTTGGAGCTTATTTTCAGCTGTGGCAGTAAAAGGCACTTAAGTTTGTTTTGTACACGTGTGTTTATGAAATAAGAAACCTAGCTCTATATATTTGCGTGTTTGTTGGGAGACAGGGGTGTGTTGAGAACCTGATCCAAAACTTGCTGATTTTAGTTGCAGTCTGTCTGTTGACCTCAGTGGTCTCTTTATTGAATCCTCTAGCAGCATCCTCCATTGTGTAAATGCACTAAAGGAAATCCCATCAACAAGTATTATTTCCCTCTGCTTCTTCCTTTCTCTTGTACCACACACAACATAGGTAGTGTAGACAGCCTGAAGATAAGCAGAATGGAAAGTGATGGATCATAAAGACAATATTGTAACAGTAAACTAGCTCAGTGGCAGCTGTAAATTAAACAACTCTGTCTTCTTACTAACACCATGTTACACTTTACATTGATAGATGACTTTTTAAGATTTATTTTTTCCTTTTCTGTAAAAAGGAGTGACATGCTGAGTATTGATTTCTCCCTTCCTTCGTTTTAATTTGCAGTTATCTGTAGGCAGCAAATAAAATATTATTCTTTCTGCTCCTAGTGACTCATGGTGCTAACTACTGTCATTCTCTAAACGGATTCAGCTAAGCTGGAATCTTTTTAAGCAAAAATCACTTGCATAAGAGCAATCCTTGTGAGAAGAATGCAGGATATTATACAAGAAGACCCTTAACGTTAAGAAGGCTTCTGTTTATCAAAGCCATGGCTTCAGTAGTTCTGAAAAGCACCTCTGGGAAGTATCTTTAAAGTTACTGCTGTTTTCCAGGATAATTTTATATGCTTCATTGTATCGCCTGCAAACTCAGACAGTATATCATCATCTAATATATTATTTTTTTTAAGAAAGATTTTTCTGATACTGAAGCACTATGGAGTTTGTGCTGGAGAGATATCTCTCCCTAATACCTCTACTTCCCCCTCTCTCCCTGCCAGGAGAGCACTGTGATAAGCTTTCTTCTGTCTATGATAATCCTTAAAATGTTTTGGTTTTGGGATTGGTTGGTTTGTGTGTTTGAGGTTTTTTTTGGGAGTGGTTGTGTTTTTTTGTAAACTGTTGGTTCTGTTTCCTTTTCTAAGTTCATCATGCTGAACCTACTGAATTAGGGCCAAATCTCTTCTTTCTGTGCCTTGTTTGGATTGCATGTATGGTGGTTGTCTAATAATTATCTTGCCTGTTAGTTTGGTACTTCTGAAGATGCCTGAACTTGATTTGAGAGGTGCAAGAGTTTTGAAGCTTCCTGCTACTCTGATCTTTCAGCACTTACCCTCTCTGCTAAGTTTTTGGGGTTTTTGAGAATACGAATATAACTATTTCCTGACACTTCCTCTAGGACAAGATGTATAATGTTCCTCCTTTTCCCACCGTCCCACTAATACGAAACTTTGTTTCGACAGCAAAGTTATGGCAGTGCTACTGGTAGACTGATGGTGTTGTCTCCTTACCTGTTAAGTGCCACCTAAGTCAAGGACCCAGTTCTCCGTAGACAGCTATTTCTGCCCAGCTCCAAAGTAAATACTATTTGCAGAGTGTGCTGGGATATTGCTAGCCCAGGAAAGTAGTTGGCAGCTTAGAGAAATAGTAAGAGGTGGCACAGTAATACTTGAAATACGTAGTAGTGATGCTAGAAACGTGGTTGTTACTCTCTCTGCTCTGTGCTTTTGTGTGACTAAGTCACACGATCTTGCTGTTTGATATTCCCATGTACAAGGTGGGGTCCAGGCGTTACCTGCCTCGTCTGCCGCAGGGGAAACACCGTAGTGGCAGTGGTGTACTATGAGTAAAGTGCTGTGTGTAGCCCTGATGTAGGCAGGCTCCTGTGAACTGAGCTGTAGTGCAAATAAACATGGTCAGTCTATAGTAGTGTTCTTGGATTAGTTCAGAGAGCCTTTAAAATACATGCTTGCTCCTTGAGGTGTTACATGATTTGGGGCTCGTTTCTCCTGAACGGATTTGTCTTTTAATGTTCAAGTAGTTGAGGTCCTGAACATGACTTGACCTACTGCGGTTTGATTTTTGTTTGTTTTCCTGTAGTGGAAAAAATACAATCCCCATGCTAATTGTGGAAGCGTAGATTACATTTCTGTGAAGCTCTGTTGTTCCTTTTAATATTGATCTATTTTTCTCCGCCTTTTCCTCTTTGCAGTGGGAGGAAGTAAGCATTATGGATGAGAAGAACACTCCGATCCGCACCTATCAAGTCTGCAATGTGATGGAGCCCAGTCAGAATAATTGGCTACGAACTGATTGGATTCCCCGTGAGGGGGCTCAAAGGGTATACATCGAAATCAAGTTCACTCTAAGAGACTGCAACAGCCTGCCAGGTGTCATGGGAACTTGCAAAGAGACTTTCAACCTTTATTACTATGAATCAAACAACGATAAGGAGCGTTTTATTCGAGAGAGCCAGTTTGCCAAGATCGACACCATCGCTGCTGATGAGAGCTTCACCCAGGTGGACATTGGTGACAGGATCATGAAGCTGAACACAGAGATACGGGACGTGGGACCACTCAGCAAGAAAGGGTTTTACTTGGCTTTTCAGGATGTCGGTGCCTGCATTGCTTTGGTGTCTGTTCGTGTCTTCTATAAGAAGTGCCCGTTGACAGTTCGAAACCTGGCACAGTTTCCAGACACCATTACTGGGGCTGATACGTCCTCGCTGGTGGAGGTTCGCGGCTCTTGCGTCAACAACTCGGAAGAGAAGGATGTGCCAAAAATGTACTGTGGGGCAGATGGCGAATGGCTGGTGCCCATTGGCAACTGTCTGTGCAATGCTGGCTATGAAGAACGTAATGGTGAATGCCAAGGTAGGATGAGCCATATTGTACTCTTCATTAGGGCTTAGTTGAATGCATAATTGAATCGGAGATGAGAGTAAATGCAGTAAAGCCAGTAATTAGCAGCCCCTGCGGGATGCGGTGGGACAGAGGGGTTTAATGAAGAAGTCCAATAGCTCCAGGTGGCAAGGCTAAGAATTACAGAATGCAAAACAAACGATACTGCCATAGCAGGCAGAAGGCGAAACACATTTTCTAGCAGGCGCCTCAACTTGAATTGGCTCACAATAGTCACCAAAATGTGAATGACTGCAAAACAGTGCAGTCGAGCTACCGTCGTTTAAAGAGACAAAGCTTTCAAGCTTTATCTGAAGTGAACTTTGTTAAGCACAGGAAATTCTGGCGAAGTCTGCTTTGGATAATACGGTGGACTAAGAACCAGTCGGGGTGGGGGGGAAGAGGAATTTTAGCTGGATTACTTTCCCACTTTGGGAAGGGGAAGTCTTTGGTGTTTTACTTGTTGCAAATTTTTAGCACTAAATACCCTTTGATATTTGACACTGCTGCCTTTGTTAAATATTTTCATTTCTCAGAGGGTCTCTATTGTCAGCTTAATAATAGAGGTGCTAGGATACTCTTAGAAATGCTAAAAGTCTCCACCCCACCCTCCCACACACACCATCCTGTGTGCTGCAGAATTGGGGATTAAAGTTTGTATAAAAGGCAGATTATCCTAAAAAGAAAAAAACCTCAATACCTATGTTCTATTCACCTCTCCTTTCTGGAAAAAGAAGTTGTAAAAGGTTAGGAAAGCAGAGAAGGGAATTTATAAATAAAATATCTGTAGCATCAGCTTCTGAACTCTTGCTCATGTAAGCATAAATTAAGATCAGACTTAAATGGATTCTTGCACAGGTCAGTGGGCTTAGTTTTGCTGGGTGCTGAATTGAAGGTGCTCAGCTCCTTAGTGGATTTGGAGCCGTGTTTTTGGAAAAGGCTCTTTGGAGGCAAATGGCTTTACTTCCCATCTTCTTGGTGTGTTTTTCACTAGGTCATTTTTTTCATCTTGAGACTGAGAACAAGGTAGCCCAAAGCAAGTAACTGACTGCTTTTGTGCTAGACTCCTAAGAGAACTGTGTCTTTTGAATGTCCTGCTTGATTTCTTTTAAATGATAATTTACAGTCAATATCAAGTTCGTTATTGTGCATTGAAGTTAAGCTTGTCAGGAAAGAAGCTTTAAGTAGAAACTTTAGCCTTAATTTCTACTGGTTTTGCTATAGGGAAAAAACCTAAGTGCGCCATACTGGCAACAAAATTACCATGGGCTGTAGAGAGAACAGAAAGATGAGCAGCATGATGATAGGGCATCCTGTCTGGGGCAAATTACTCTGGTTTTGGGTTGTTTGTGTGTTGTTTGCTTGGTTTTGTGTGTTTGTATTGGTTTTTTTTTTTGAATCTTGTGAAATGGAAATTTGAAAACCGGTGTATTGTTAAATGTGGACCTGTGGCAGTGGTACTGACTGCTGCTGGGGAGATGCTGTTGCTTTCTAATAGCTCCATAACTTCTGGGCAAAGCTTCTTGATGCCTCTATAGCCTGGGTTGTGAGAGCAGGAGGTGAATGGGGGTGTCCTGTTTTTGGCTGGGATAGTTTTCTTTCTAGTAGCTCGAATAGCACTGTGTTTTGGGTTTAGTATGGGACTTGGTATGAGAATAATGTTGTCAATACACTGATGTTTGTAGTTGTTGCTAAGAAATGAAGGACTTTTCCAATTTCCCATGTTTTGCCAGTGCGTAGGTGCACAAGAAGCTGGGAGGGAGCATAGCTAGAGCAATGGACCCAAACTAACCAATGGGATATTCCATACCATGTGACATGCCACTCAATGGGAGTTGATCGGGAAGTTTGCACTCTCTCTTCCGGGATTGCAGTTTCGGGATTTCTCCCCTCTGGCATCGCTAGCTGAGGACAGACTGTGCATTAGTCAGTGGGTGGCAAGCAATTGCACTGCACATTGCTTGTCTGTATATTCCATTCTTATTAATTACTATTGCAATTATTTTATATTTTATTTCAATGATTAAATGGTTCTTACCTCAACCCATGAGTCCCCTTGCCTTTACCCCCCCGATTCTCTCTCCCATCCCGCAGGGGTGGGTGAGGGTGAGTGAGCGGCTGCCTGGTGTTTGGTTCCCAGCTGAGTTAAAACCACAACAGGGGGGAAAAAAGCATCTTGTTTATTGAATGGAGATTATTCCACCTTCTCCTAAACGCCTATTAGGTCATAACTGGATCACTCTGACACAGATCTACTGTTTTTTGGCATCAGTGGCCCAGACGTGATGAGCTAATTGCCGAAGAAATCCGGTGTTGTTCAAGAGAAATCTCCTGAGCTTTTGCTGGTGGGCAGTGGTGATACTGGGATGCTTTTTAATCTATTTTTGTGGTGTTGGACCAGGCCTTGGGGACAAACGTCAGCTTACTTACCAGGTCTCAGCTGCATCCATGTGAACTTGAGTTCAAGAAACCCAGTTTGCTGTTTCCCATGTAAAAGGAAGATCAGGTGATGCTATATTTGCAAAGGAGTTAGAAACGTTCTGTCTCTTGGGCTCTGCAGAGTGAAGTTGACCTGTACTAACCATTGTGAGAGGATTTGAGCCAGCATGTAATTTGAAAGTGCTAAACATGTTTTGTTGGTGGTTATTTGTGGTTTCCTTTTCTCACATTTGCCGTTCTTCAGATGGAAGGGTTTACCAGGAAGCTCGTCTTCATGAATTCGTGAAGTTTACCAGAACTGTACAGATCGCTCTCTGATTTCCAGTTAGGCCATTAAAGCAGTTTGGCCTTTGACACTGCTGAATGAGGCTTCCCCTTTTCTTACTTCACTTAACTTAATAGCTGAGCACATGTTCTGCTCTGGCAGGTTTTTGGAGGGGAAGAGGAGGATGAAGTGAGGAGGATGGATTCCTGTGGCTTTGGTTCAGAGGATTGGGAGGTGGGGGAGAGATTTTGAATTTGGGAAAGGCTGTAAAAGGGTGCGGGACTGGGACTGGAGTTTCTGAGCAGGTTCCACCTCAATTGTTTTTCAATAGGTTGACTGTGGCAGGACAAATACAAGGAAAGGTCAAAGGTTGTCCGTTTCCTCATCCATCTTTCCCTGTGATCCTAGGGTCAGAGTTAGGATTGATTAAGATCTTAAATGCTTGACAAAAGCTCAGTGGGCAGAAATAGTTTAGACCAATGAATCGGGGCTTTGCACTTGTTGGGAGATCCATGGGAGATGTCGGAGCTCCCTGTCCTCTCCTGGGACCTACCCACTGCCGTGCGGTGCTGGGATGGACCAGCTGGCTCTTGCGTTGCCCTAAAAGATGCTTTGAGTTTGCTCAACCTTCTGATTTTTAAATAACATGTTTTTCCTTGAGCTGCCTTTGCTTAATTTCTGATGTATGTGTGGGAAGCATAATGGGAAGCTGCTTCACATCTAAAGTGGTTCCTGTAGTGGGAGTTAATGACTCTCTGACCTTGAACAGGATTTAAAAAAAAATTGTGTCAGTGGTATGGAGGTGTTTGAATATGATGACAAAAAAAATGTCCTTTCTCTGACTGCTGTCTTTTTCCAGCTGACTTTAGTGATAATTGTCTTAATGAACATCCATATACGTGTGTGTGTATGGAGATGTATGCAAAAAAACAGGGCAGGAAAGGAAAGGAGCAAAGCATTTAATCCATATTTATTTGGGAAGTTTCACAGGTGTGTCACAGGAGGGGTTCCACAAAATTGATCCTGATGAGTAGAAATATTAGCTGAGGACTAATTCTTTGCTTACAGTTGAATTTGTAGCTGTAAACTTGATGCTAAAAATCCTCAACTTACTGTTTTTTTTTTTTTTCTTATTACTATTTATTCTCCCCTAAACTTCCTGCATTAATGGCTATCCATGTAGGAGAGCATAAATGTGGAATATTGTTGATGGAACATGACTATCCCAACTAGTGGCACATCTCAAGGCTAAGGTAGTTAGTGCTTTAAGGCAAAGTTGAGACATAAAATAATTTTAAACTTTGCTTGTATGCATCATTGTTATGTAAATTGGTTTGTTACACATTAATATAATGTGGTTGGGATTCAGTTATGATTTCCTTATGATAAAATGCATATCTCTTTAACTCAAAGGAGGAAGAGGGAAAACAAGCAGGAAGGGAGAAAAGACAGATTAAAGAAGCAATAGACTGTAGCCATCTGTGATGATTTTGATGCTGTGAAATTACAAATCTCAATTTTAGACCTGCCATTTAGTATAAATATGTGAGACAGTTGAGATTTTTACTGTGATATTGTAAAGGTTATGAGAGCCAACAGCTTTGTCTTCATCTACACTTGCTTTTTTGAGTTGTGAATTGGCCAATTGGCAGAAAATCCAGTGTCATTTAAAATATGGCTCAGTCCTGGTTTCATATCACTGCTGTTTTTAGAATTTTCCTTCGAACTTTGATAAGAGCATCCCTAAGAAGTAATAATTTGAATGATAAGATTCTTTTTATCTCGGAGGCTTTGAAGAGTGGCTGTGATCATTGAGTGCAGCAGTTCAGTTTACATCAGAAGGGTACAGTCTAATTATTTTTTTTTTCTGTGATAAGATTTTTTTTTAGATGGTGTGTTTTGTAGGGGTGGGGAAGTGAAGTAATTTGTGTGTACTTTCCCATTGTAGTCAGACAACTTTTTTTGTCAGAGTAACACTGATAAACAGTCTGTCTGCATTAAGAGGGTAATCAGAAGGGTGACTAAGACTGCACAGTTTTGAGATTTCAGAAGGATTTTTTTCAGGTTGATTATTTTTGGCAGAGGGGTAAAAAAAAAAATGCACAGACTCAACATGTTACGTTTTCAAAGGAGCTGAGAAGACGGAAGCTACCAGGAGGAGCATGGGAGCAATACTGAAACACAGTCTGTCTGAACCAAATTTAGTTGGTTCTCTTCTCTGCTGAAGGAGTGATTTGGTTATGTTCTCGTGTAGCTCAATAGATCTTCC